GTTCATAGCTCTCCCAAATAGATTACACATAAACTACCGTTCAAAGATTTGGGGTGGTCACCAAGGCTGCATTAATTTGATCAAAAATAAAGTAAAAATACAGTAATATTGGTAAATAATATTACAATTTAAAACAGCGGGTTTCTATTTTCTTGTATTTTAAAATGTAATTTAATCCTGTGATGCAGTAGTCATTACTCCAGTCTTCAGTGTCACATAATCATTACAAAATCATTCTAATATGCTGATTTCATGAAACAGTTCCTATTATTATCAATGTTGAAAACAGTTATGCTGCTTAATAGTTTTGTGAAATAGAAATCTTTTGTAACATTATTTATAACTCTTTATTGTCACTTTTGATCAATTTAATGCATCACTGCAGAGTAAAAGTATTGATAAAAAAAAAAACTTACTAACTAAACTTTTGAACGGTGCTGTATATTGAAAACTGATTTTTCGTCTTTTTTTAAATTCTGCCTGTTTCCTGTATTGTTCAATCTGTCTGTTTGCTGTTTTAGATCTTTGATGAGGTGGAACAGCGCAGAAAATTCTCCATGGCGATGATTTATCCATTTATGCAGAGCCTGAGGGAGTCTGTGTTTCCTGCTCCTGGACACACTGTTAATATCAAAAGTTTTATTCCAGAAAGAGGCACTGAGGTAAGAACTAGTGATAAAACTATTAATTTTTTTAAATCTTGAGGGCTGTCTGAGTGGCTGGTCAGTATAAAGAATGTGTCTTCCCCTTTATTGTTTTATTCTAATTAAAAAAAAAAAAAAAAAAAATGGAAATGCCATCTGCCTGAGACTAGGGTTAGAAGCACTCCAAATTGTACATCTCACACTATTAGTCCTGACATCGTTCTCTGAACAATGACTTGCATAACAATTGTGGTTCTCGTAATGACATACAAATGCAGTGTTGCTCAAGACAGCAGCTGCTACACTTTCCATTTCCACTGTATTTGCTGCAGTTGAGTCAACACCAAAAACCAAAAAACTGGTGTTAGTCTGTCATTTTCTATTAAACAAAAAAGAGGAAGAGGAAATTAAATGAGAGTGTGAAATCGTGGAAGAGAATAAAAGCTGGTTTTACATGTATTTTCCCCAGTAATTTTAAACCAGAGAGTCAATTACAATACATTAAAGGAGGTGTAAAGTAATACGTCTCTAATTCCAAACAAGCGGACAGGCAGGCAGAGACACGCTATCCACAAACACACACCTCCTTAGCTCTGGCAAAACAGCAGGAAATTGAAGTGAGTGAAGTAATAGCTCAGGGGAAAGGGTCAGAGATGAGCTGTTTCATGCAGGTATGTCCTCCTGATTTGTACCAACTTGACTGAGTTCTGCTTGAAATTCTCCTTCAGCAAATTTTCTATGTAACATTCCAATCAAGTGATCTGCACATATCTTGCATTATTATAAAAACCATAATTCTGCGATTAGTTTTACCTCAACAGTGATTTTATTTGTCATTTAATCTATCTATCTATCTATCTGTCTATCTGTCTGTCTGTCTGTCTGTCTGTCTATCTCTATAATTGAGGGTACTCAATTTAAAGTTTAAAGAAAAAATACTTAATTTATCAGAACTGACTATATGGCTATATACGTAACTAAATGACAAAAAAGAGGATTACAATTAGGCTGAAAACATCAAACATGAACACTAAATACAATTAATAAAACTAAAAAACAAACCAATTTATATTACTGTATGGAAAATATAGGGACTAAAACATTATTTATCAATGATTCAAATGAGAGACAAATTTCCTCCCTGATGACAAATAAGTGATCTATCTCTCATTGCTTCTAGCTAGTTATCCCCCAACAGTCTTTTTAATAAAATATCTACTGTACCTATAATAAAGCATCTGTGTATCTCTCTGTAGATCATCAGTTTGACTCGTCCAACAGACTCCTGGCTGGAGCACGTAGATTTCCGCACACTGTTCAAATGCCTGTCAGATGAGGAGGTGCTCCAGGTGTTTGCTGCTACTGTACTAGAGCGGAGGATCATCTTCATCGCTGACGAGCTTGGGTGCCTAAACACACATACACAAGTGTTAGGTTTTGCTTTGATTTATATGTTTATGTATAACCCATATTGATCAAACCCATGCTATCTCTGCAGGACGTTGTCTCAGGTGATCCACGCAGTGGCTGTTCTCCTGTATCCATTCATCTGGCAGCACACGCTCATTTCCATCGTTCCCGAGATCCTAATTGACGTCGTCATGGCACCCACACCATACCTGCTGGGTGTTCAGAAAAGTCTCGCAGATCAGGCCACTGACCAGACCGAGGTGAGTGACCAGACTTGTGACACCGTTTAAATATTGCAAGCAATTTACATTTCAAACGCTACAAGCTGACATCTAAATTCATCTACTCACCCAGCTGCTTGTTGTTGACTTGTCAGAAGGCAGGAAGGAGACATTTATCAAGTGTGTAAGTTCACGTTTACATCAAAGAGAGCATCTTTTCATTTGTTGCCTTGAAAAGTGACTGATGGATATAGTGTGGGTGACTGTGGTTGAAATGTTTCTCCAAACAGATGGGAGATGAGGACACAATATTACCTCACAAACTCAAAGATGAAATCAAGCAGGCCCTCAGTGCCAAAAATGAGAAATCAAGTAAGCAGCATTTTTACTCCGTATTTAGAGGAGTTTTTTTATTTATTATTTTCTTTTTTATTATCAATTATTTTCTCATTACTCATAAGTAGTGTTAAGCATTTTAACAAACCCGTAATAAGGCCCAGGTATACTTCATTTTCCAACTTAAGTTCTGTTTCACGCACAGTTGCCCGTCAGCGTGGAAGGATGTGTTCAGCACATGCACACTATCTAGTAGACCGTTCGTTTTAAGCACTCAGTCACTCGGACATGCAATGGAAAGACTGGGTCATTTTACTGACTTCATCTTTGAATCTCCTTGAGCCAAATGAATTCAGGTTTTGAACTCATTTGAGCAGTGTTATATTTTCAATAGCCAAATTCTCCAAACACGTCCACATACACAATCTTTGACCATATTTTGTATTGGGAAATCATTGTAAAGGAGCCAAATATAAATTATAAAAAATGTATGATTATTTTTCCCCCCAGTCTTTTGTTCATTTGTCATGTGACACACGCAACGAACGAATCATCATTGCGTGAATGATGTACTTAAATGCTGGCACATAACTTTATTCTATATTGTTGGTGCTACGGGCATAAATTATCAATTATTCAGAGTGCAGTACAGTCTAAAGACTGCTGCCATATTTCGCTAGAAAACCCAGCACCTGATTCTAACAAAATAGCTAAATAATAAGCTACTTGGCACTAGCCCCAGCAAATAAGCCTAAATTAACCAAAATACGCTGCTGTGTTTTTGTAAATAAGATCAAAAACGCAATCCACAGCTGGTAATGTGAAATACTATGAAAAGTAAGCCCAAAAAACGTACGTATTCTAAGCAGACATGGCAACACTGCATGCGCTGCGTTACGACCGTAAACAAAACGCAGCGCCTCTGTCAATTTTAGAAGTTTCCAGACATATAATGTGTCTTTAATCGCTAATATTACTTGCGTTAAATACGTTTTAAACAGTTTTCGTTAATGTTTCATGTTCACAACCGCAAGACGCTGTGAAGTTGCTATGTAAATAATCACAATCGCACCCTAGAAACAGCATATACGTAATTCTCTCAAAACAATAGCATAAATGTAAAAATCTAGTTTATTCATACTTTCACGTACACAATTATTTTGACCAAGTATTTAAAACTAATAACCTATATTTATATAATTTATCATCACTTCAGGTCTGGAGGAGTTGAACCGGGTGGTCCCAGAAGCTTTCCTGCCGTTCTTTATCAAGACTGTCGGCCACTTCGCTAAGTACATCGTGCGGAAGGGCAAAGACCAGCGGGGCGAGTTCCAGCGAACAAATTTCTGCAAAGCAATAGAATCCAAGAGCACACGACGGTTTGTGAAGACATTTGTACAGACGCAGATGTTCGACCTCTTCATTCAGGAAATGGAACAGAGACCCGCCTCTCAGGACGGCACAGGTGAGACGCTTTGACCTAACATTAAAATTTATATTTTTAAATATATTTTCACATTGAATCTCTAAAGTAATGTAGAAATGTATATATATATAAATATTTTTAATGTCATCTTTGTACTGAATACTATGAACGAAGGCAAGCATCACCAATACTGATGTCTGTTAAAATGTTTTTATTTTTTGTTTAATTTAAGTGAACTTAAAATCTTCACATAAACCTATTATAATAAATGTCACATTTTGAGGTATCTTTAATAGTGTCATCTTAATGACTGGTACTTTGATTTACTTTTGCTTAAGAAGAGGATGCTACCAATATAAAAATGATCTTGAATAGTAATAAAAATATAGTAATAAAACGTATAGTTAATATTTTCTCCCAATTTTCCAGGGCTCTTTGACAAAAAGATTGCAGAATACCAGAAAAGGATGAGGGGGAAAGCCAAGAAAAACTAGTGGAAGCACTCACCAAAGTAGCTGGTTGTGAAATAAATCAGTCAGTCATTAGTAAATAATTTTAAGGAATGTAGATAGAATTAAATGTCAGATTATGTTTTATTTATGTTGTCATGTGTTAGTTGTCAGACTTTTACTGCTGTTTGTCATTTGTGTCGGGGTTTTGTTGGGTGTTGTGGGTAACTGTATTGTGATAAGCTGCTGTATTTAATGCATGAAAGGCTTGTTTGAGCTAGAAAGGTTTTGACCAGAACAATGTCACAGAAACTGAGCCAGTGGAAACGTGCTGAATTGAAAAACATCCATTTTTCAATAAAAACAAAACAGCGAATGAAATGAAATTAAATAAAAAAAAACACATTTCATCTCCACATTTCACAAATAATTGTAAAAGCACTGAAATATGTCAAAACATTTAACATGTTTCTTCTAAAATTAAAAAGGAAAAACACTTAAAGTGGTGTGATACTTTGGCGATAAAACGTGTGTAAAAATATCTGTACATACATACCTAGACTCTCTCTCAATATTCTCAGAATAATGCAGAAAGCTTAGAAGTTACAGGAGCTTCTCTTGAACGTGAAAAGTTTCCTCGGGAACACTCAAATCTGTGAAGTACTGTCCACTGAGTGCCGGCTGCAGTGCTGGATGTCAGACACACGGTGGCAGATTGTCTCTCACATGGCACCAGCCAGCAGAGGTGAACGCTCTCCATGCTGCAGGTGCTCTCTCTCTTCATAGTGAGGATAGTTGTAAAGATGGTTACTCTGAAGAACAGGCTGAACCCGCAAAGTGATTTTCTGGGGGGGGTGGGGGGAAGAGGTTTGGTCAAACGGGTGGCAAACTTAAGCAAATTAGATTTTATGCACATACTAAAAATATTATTACACATTATACGATAAGTGATGACATACAAACTCATGAACCAGTATAAGTAACAGTAACAGATCATACCTGGAAATCATGTATATACGTGAGGAAGAAGCAGATGAAGGAGGATGCCAGAGACCATTCAGCTGCAGCACTGACCTGGTGCGTGCTGGGTTTGTCCCTGTTTTACCCAGCACTGGGTTGTATTTAACCCAGCATTTTTTAGAGTGTAGAAAACCCTAAAATACAGTAGAGTTTACATTTACATCTATACACATCCATTATCAATGCATCATCAATTTCCCCAAAATATTAAGAAGCAAAAACGTGTGTTGTATTTAACCCAGCATTTTTTAGAGTGTAGAAAACCCTAAAATACAGTAGAGTTTACATTTACATCTATACACATCCATTACCAATGCATCATCAATTTCCCCAAAATATTAAGCAGCAAAAACGTTTTTTTAACATGAATGATAATAAGATCCATTAATAACTATTCATTATTAATAACTGGGCACCAGATCAGCATATTAGAATGATTTCTGAAGGATCGTGTGTGACACTGAAGACTGGATTAATGATGCTGAAAATTCAGCTTTACATCACAGGATTTACATTTTAAAATATATTAAAATAGAAAATAGTTATTTCAAATTGTAGGCTAATAATATTTCACAATATTACTGTTTTTTGTTATCTAATAAATGCAGTCATGGTGAGCATAAGAGACTTCTTTCAAAAACATTTAAAAATCGCAGTGTTTCCATCAGAATTATTTTCCTCAGACCCCTACATAACACTAACCTAATGTAATTTTCCTTCAAATCTTTGCTATATTATATTAAACCAGTGTATTTCCATGAAAGTTACACTTTCATTATATTAATGTGACTTAATGTGATTTTTTTTCATACATTCACATACCTTCACAAATGCAGTTACACTACAGTATATATACACCAAAAATAATAATAATTGGGGATTTACTGTTCCTCAGAGTGACTTCTCTTGAACACTGCATATTTGGCCAACTATAGTAAGTTATTTGCACACAGATAATTTGCATATATGTCCAGCATGTATGAAGGTACTATGTTTGAAATAATAAAAGAGCCTGTATAGTAACTTCAGATCAAGTGTATCATCTGTCTTACTCTCTCTCTGGGCTGCCTGCAAGTGGAAATTATTAGCTACATCCACGCCAGGCAGGTCATCATACATTAATACAGAGGATATGAAAACTGACAGATTCAGTCAAAGAAGCAGAACAGGTATAAGAGTACTGATGCAGTTGGTTTATAAGAAATATAGAGAATCATTACAAACTGAGATGATTTTAAAGACTGCATATATATTGAGAAAAAGGATACATGTAATTATGCTAATGAGCGACCACATTCCCACAGCCATACGAGCCCAAAAAATATCCCTGCCGTGGAAACGTGGCTGCATGCGATACGACATGCCAGTCTGGACCAGTACATACAACGTCCCAGCACCAAAGGTCAGCCCTGCTCCCAAAAGGTGGATGGATCTCATATCTGTTTTCTGGAAGAATATAAAAAAACATTACACTGACAGTTTCAGAGAACTGACACTCAGATCAGAGAATGAAACTGTGGGTGTCACCTGGAAGTTGGCCACAAAGCACATCCCTACAGTGCTGACAATGCCCATCAGGAGGCATGTATAGGTCAGCAGCTGTAAGCCCGACTCAGAGGCTGAAATCAAAGCCTGAACTTGTTTATATCGCACATACATGGTGCCCAACCTTGCAAACATGCATACAGGAGAGTAGGGGTGAATCAATCCTCTACATGAGTGAGTGAAGTGACATGTGGACAAGTATAGAGACCCATACTAGGAATTAGTGCTCTGCATTTATCCCATCCAAAGTGCACACACACAGCAGTGAACACACACACACACCGTGAACACACACCCAGAGCAGTGGGCAGCCATTTTTTGCTGTTCCGTGCCAGTACGAGACTCGAACCCGCAACCTTTGGGTTACAAATCCGACTCTCTAACCATTAGGCCACAACTTCCCTACATCACCAAAATATTTAAAAAAATAATAATAATAAATAAAAATACAAGTTGGGCTGCTAATTCTTATTTGCATTTCTGCGGTGTCAACAATCATGATTAGATAAACACAAATTTGGTCTTTCACCATTTTAAAATGGGTAAAATTCAACAATTTGCACATGGAGTCACTTCAAGATCGCCATATCTCTGGAACCGAACCCTACAGGGCCTTAAAACTGAATATACCAAAAAAAAGTTTGTAAATTAGAATCTAAAAGGATATTGAAATATCTTTAGCACATATTGAGAGCGTTTAATTTGGGAAGATAATATTTATGGCACTTAGACAGGTATGCTCTAGGCAATTGTTTTGATAGAACGAAACAAGATACATCTCTACTCTCAACATTATTTGTTCTTCAAACATTCCTATTTAAAAGAAAAACGTATCAGCTGTACGCAAAGTGACCCTCATTTGAAAATTTGTTAGAATTAACAATTTACTCACGGGGAAACACTGAAATCCCCATATAGGGCCCTTAAAGAAAGGTTTGTTGAGAAACAAAATCTAAAAGGATATTACTTCTTGAGTTACAGCCATGCAAACTTTTGAACTGTCACCATTTGTATATAATGCAACAAAGATTGCTAAAGTCAGCAGATTTTGCTAACAGACCTGTAAAATCATAATGATGCTGCCATCTCTTGGCTCTAAATCTCAGGTGAAAATTGTCATTTTGACCCCCCTCTACAAAATTACTCAGTAATTTTTGGATTACTCAGTAAATATTCATGCATGACATTTAATATGTTGTCTTTCTTCTTCATTTATGTATTTCTTTCACCAAAAAACAAAAATAGCTGGGGACCTCTGGTTGACCTGACATGCAATGACCCAGATCTTCTTTATGCACCAAGAGCTTGTAACACTCCAAAGAGAAAGGAAAAATTAAAATCGCATCATATGACCCATTTAAATGAATGTGAGAGAACCAAGTCATGCACTAAACAGCATTTGTTTTTAAATGCATTTAAAAACTAAAATAAACAAGTGATTTTGAACTAAAACCCCTTGGCAGAATACAGAACTCAAAAGGACAAGATGCACAGCATTACCTGAGAAAGCTGAGATTGACAGCATGAAGCAAAACACACAGCGTTCAGGAACCTCAGTGCCTGTGTCACTACAAACAAAATAATAAATGCACAGTTTGACAGATGACAGAAATAAAACAAAGCAGTCAACTGAAGCTGAAAGATACAGATGGTAGTTCACAGAATGTCTCTGATCTACATCCGTCAAACTCTAAAAAGTGATACTACACTAAAAAATGCATGATTTATTTTCATCTTATGCATTCCAAGTATTCATGCAACAAGGTTTCTCTTCATAAAATGTTTCTCAAAGCCTAAAATGATGCATGACTCTGCATGGACATCTAGTACAAATAAAACTGAAAAACGTACCTTATGTATGGAATGAGTATGTCAGCATGGCCCAACACGACCGCTGTGGCATAAGAGATGAGGAATGTATCGGATGACCAGATAACTAGAGACCCCGGAAGAGCACAGAGACCTCTCTGAAACCACCACATACTGCCCTCACATTCAGATATTCACTCAGAGATCACCAACATCAAGAACCATCAGTAACACAACATGAGCTTAAAGGTCAAATCAACCCAATAGACAGAAAGTTACACATAGATATATATGCACACACAGTTAAATACATTGAGGGGAGCATGCAGAAAACTGAACAAACACAAGACTCAGAACACGCTTATTTCCTCATGCAAACAAATAAGGGGACGTCAGTTCGGCTGAGACTCAGCATCACAAAAGTAAATCATCAACATCGTCTGGTGAAGCTGAATTAGTTACACAGAAATGAATGTTCACAAACACAGAAATATAAAGAGATAGATCAGAGGCGGTTATAGAGTGGGTTAGTGCCTCTAAAATCTGAATGATTTTGTGTGATGCTCTCCCTAAAGTCCTGTGACCAAAGTCAGCTGACACTCATTCAGCGTGAAAATTCGCTCGCACGCACACACACACACACACACACACACACACACACACACAGACAGTGCCCTCTGAAGGTATGTTAAAACACACTGGAAATGAACAATAACATAGAAAAGATAAAGAAAAAAATAAGATATTATATTTTGCACAAAGAATATGAAGGACCACATTTTTGTTGCATGGTGAAAGTATTTTAAACACATTAAACACATTTAAATATAATGTATAATGTACTTTTTAACTATAAAAATAATTAATTTAATGAGTGAAGTTTCTTTCCAGTTTCATTTATGTACAACTGACAAATATGCATCATATATATTTTTTTTAATTTATATCAAAATCTAAATATAAGCCTAATAATTTTTTGTGTGATATTTTAATAAAATTTATGAAAAATATTATTACTGTTACAAAAAAATATATATTTAATATACATTTATTACAAGTATTTTTTGGAAAGACATCATTACTGATTTTTTTATTTATTCTGATCAGTGTTGTTTTAGTATAATTAAGATATATTTTTTATTTATATTTTCAATTTTCATTTTAGCAATTATTAGTAATTATATGTTTTTTTTAATTTTAATTTTCATTAGTAATTTTGTTGTGTTTTAGTCATTATCAGTTTTTTTTGTTATTTTTTCTTTTAAATGTCTATATAGTTATTATTTCAGTTTTAGTTATATTTTTATATATATTTCTTTTATTTCATCTTTTTATTGTTTCAGTTAACTATGATGCTTTTTCATTTAAAAAGCAGGAATAGGATGTATTACAGAATTGAGAATTATGGTAATACTAATTTGAGAAAATGAAAATAATGTCACAGTATATTTTATATGCAGTTTTTAAACACAAGTTTCAGTTTTGTTCAAGGTGACAACAGTTTTGCAGTAACTGTTGAATAAGCGCATGGATTTAATTTGGATTTAAAGGCCACTGTATTCAGAAAGGTCACACCAAACACTGTTAGGTTGGTTAAGGTTTGGAGGCTGCAAGGCCCACATTAACTGCTCCACAATAGAGAGGATTCATTAGACTAATACTGGGTGAAAGATACACACTGTTTAAGTAATGAAGCACAGTAATGGAGTCCTTATAAAATACTTAAGGGGTCATGAAATTCCAAATGTGACTTAATAAAGAGAATATTTACTGCTTATATTAGTATACATGTTGCTCCAAAATGCACTTCATAGGAAATCACAGTACTAGCGTTATTTTGGTACCATTGATATACTATTATAGTTTTTAATGTGTCTGTGTAGTTATTAACTTTTATTTCACTTTTAGTTTTTTTTATGGTTTTAGTTTGTTTTACTTAATTATAATAACTCTGCTTCTATGGAGCATGTCCAAAACCATGGTACATTGTTGGTAGCATAAGAACTAAAACATAACACTAAAACAAACTGAGGCAGTGATCAAGAAATCTGTTAACATAAATATAACAATCTTTATTTCATGACCATTAGTCTATTACAAAGTAAAGTATTTGATGTAAATCAACAGAACAACAAAAATACTGGTCGAGGTACAAATTCTACATGTATGCAAATGTAGTTGCAGCGACAGACACCATTTTCTTCAACTATGTGTGTTTTGCAGCTTTGGCTGACCTCAGACCGGCCCAGGTGAACGGATGACGCGTTTAGAAAAAAATAAAAAGGGAGAAACACAAATACACGGAAACCCACTTAAATAACATTCACGACAGGATTAAAACATCTTCAATAAAAGTCTCAAATCAAGAGACTAAAATAACATATACAAGCAACTGCTCAGAGGTAGATGCAAAACAATAACGCGTTTTGAGAAATATACATGGAGTTTGGCCACTCTGTTCATATTCTACTCTTGGAAGCACCCGATACAGAACTTCAGAGTTAATGTCTATTGTTTTGCAATATAAATGTCCAAAACAAATTGGCATGAGGGTAAAAAACTGATTGCAGATTGCTAATTCAATAACGCGACATGCAGGAATATGAAATTGCATCTTTGTGGAGTATGATGCTTACAAACAAAATGCAATTTACACAAGAGGTTAAAAAATATCAACATCGCTGAGTCCGTTTACTGTGTGCATAGAGGAGTATACCGACAGTGACAAATAAAAGGCACAAAAATAAATTAGCACAAAAATAAATTAGCACAAGTTATCACATTAACTAATGTATTTAGAGCAAAAACACTAATTTTTAAGGTTTTAATGTCATCTATTATTAAGGGTTCATTTGTACAGTGTAACTCACTTATAACCATTCTAGACGTCTATCTTGGCCCCAGTTATTATTAAGAAAATATGGCACTATCAAAAAACTGTTTCTAATACAGTTTTTATCATTTAGTGACATTGGTATACTTAAATAATAATAATAATCCCCTCCAAAACACTACAAACACAAAGTAACATATGCATAGAAAGAAAAATGATACATACTGTATAGATTAGTTTACCGAATGACATCAGATGAGAGGCTGAATTAGCAGGATTTGTAAATGTGAAATTCTTGTCATTTCTGAAATATTGATGGAACCTCTTGCGCCTGTTTTTCTTGTCATAAGATCTGATGTTATCTCTTACCTCTCTGAATGCTCTCTGCTCCTCGCAGACAATAGAGCACCGCTTTGAACTGGTAAAAGTGTAAATTTTGATTAGTGAATGGCCGCAAAGATTCCAGTTAATGCCTATAGCGTTCTGTAATTATGAAACTGCATTCAGATGGAGTGCTGGCTGTTAATGGAATGAATTCTACACTGCTGGGCAAAATACTTGGTCCAAAACTAAACAAAATTAAATGAAACAAAACAAAACAAAATGAACTGAAACAAAAAACAAACTGAAACAAAACAGACAAAACAAAAAACACACACACAACACCCCCCCCCCCAAAAAAAACAAAACAAACAAACAAAAACAAAATAAAACAAACATTAAAACTGACAAAAAAAAAAAAAAAAAACATTCATAGTTGTGGCCTCTGTGGCAGATCTTCTAACTATGGCAAACAAAACTGGTCATCTAACAACAAAATACTGACAGCTGAATGGTGTTCTAACCGTAGGATGTATATTCTTTTAAATATTCCCTATCGTCCTTCAAATATCCTCTCTCTCTCTTCATTATGAGAACAAAGTTCATAACTGCAGCCATTTGGGCTCGGGCTCTGCGAGTTGTCATTTACACTACTTCAGTAGGTGCGTGACCTACTGGAGGTGTTTGAGGGAGAGGGGACGAGAGGTTAGTGGTGATTTCTGCTGTCTGCCTGGACTCTGGATGGAGACGGAGGCTGGATGCTGAAGACACGGATGTTTAAGTGTGTGGCGATCTGGTTACAGACACTCACGCAGTACCGCACCAGATCAAACGCTGACAGCACCTACAAATAAAAAGGAAAAAGCTAAAGCATAACAAATGCATTTTTGATATGGCAAGATGAAAAATTTAAAAGCAGGGTATGTTTTTTGGGGTTAAATAAAGGTGGAGATCATGCACTTCCCACAGTTAAATAGCTAAGATCTACACTTTTATATTTTCCCCTCTGATTATAATGTTAGTTAAGGTTTCTTGAACCAAAAACAGTCATAATTTAGTTTTACAAGATGATTTTCACTCTCTCTCTGACCCTATATGCTCCCGTAACTTTAAGAATTCTATACTTTGGATATGATTAGCAAGTATCTTCACATGTGAAATGAGTAATAAGTTGATCAATACTAAACAAGTGAAGTCAATGTGAAACCCCATTCACAATCCATTTTACTTCTGTAATCAGACATATTTCCAGGTGAAACAGGATGTTCAGTGAAAAAAAAAAAGATATATATATGTATACTGTATATATGAAATTCATAACTATAAAGGCCTGTTTCTGCCACTAAATAAATAATAAAAAAAGGTAATTTTCTCAGAATTGCATGATATAAACTCACAATTATGAGTTAGAGTCATAATTGTGGGATATTAAGTTGCATTTGAGTGTTATAATGTCAGAATTCTGAGATATAAACTTGCAATTCTGACTTTTTTCTCACAAAAGACGTTTTTCATAGAATACATACCTCAATGTGTTAATAGTGTAAACAGATCGAAGTTGTTTCAGAGGAAGAGCAAGTTATTATATTGCAGATTTCTTTTTAAATTTGAAATAATGTGCATAATTGTGCATAATATGACCAGGAAAGTTTATTAAGAGCGTAAATCGTGGCGATTCTTATATCATGTTGACTTGAATGTGCCTGTAATTGTGACGTCACGACCATGAGGGTTTCTGAATGACCTTTGTTTCAACTTCATTTCAATAACTAATCTCAGCAGACAGTGTAAGAAGCCATGCGATGTGATGTCTACATACTACAGTGAGCTCTTTCTTTCAAAAGAGCAAGGAAAATCTATGTTTTCAGACAAATCTTACACATACCAGAGCGACCCACAGAAGACAGTACTCATTAATGAAACTGTTGAAGTACTGGTTCAGAAACAGCAGCGCTGGTCCGGTGAAGGCCAGGTCATTACGATGCATTTCACTCTTTGTCATATGAGCAACCTGGAAAACAAAACAGATGTGACTGTAGTGACATTTACATTAACTGATGCTAATGCGGTTCGAGTCTGACAGATATGAACTACAGACAACAATGTCAAGTATTTATGTTAAAATGTGCAGAAAATCATACTAACAGCGGGTTTATGCTCACATACAAGCCATAATTCTTCCTGCCAACTATAAAAACAGTTCAGGTAGAGGTACATCAATAATCTGCCAATAGTATTCATATGTGTTAGGAGCAATTTATCATAGCACTTATTTAGTGAAGCTGAAATAAATACAGTATATTGATGTCATTCATGATCTTACCACCAGTCTGTTGGTGAGTTTGGCCGAGACAAATCCAAATGCTAAGATGTAGAGACAGGGATGTCTCTCGAATAGCTGCATTGAAGACTTCTTATAGATCATTAGAGCAAGTGTGATTACCACTCCTATATGAAAGGATGGAGACAAAACGCTTGTTCCCTAACAAAAGAAGAAAAACAGATGTGCAAATAATTTAGACGTTAGATTAATTTTGACAAAGTAACAAGATCTTTTGTTTTAAATTAAGTTCACATCATGTGCATTTAACAATGCAAATGTCTGATACATACTGCATGAAAAAAAATTGTTGCTTAAAGGGGTCATATGATGCGATTTCAATTTTTCCTTTCTCTTTGGAGTGTTACAAGCTCTTGGTGCATAAAGAAGATCTGTAAATTTGCAAAGACTAAAGTCTCAAATCCAAAGAGATATTCTTTATAAAAGTGTCAACCATGCCTACCTAAAACGGCTCGTTCTAACACGCCCCCACATGTCTACGTCACGATGTGGGAAGATTTGCATAACTTGCAAATAACGCCCAAATGTTCACGCAAAGAAAGAAGGCGTAACTTTGATTCTCACTGTAGTATTGTTGTTGCAGTGTGTTTCGTTGTATTTACAACACTGTTCCAGAACAGTTCAACTCAAATATTAAGATGTGTGCAGCACATTTTATGGAGGACTGTTTCCTGATCCTGGTAGAGTAGACTACAATGCCGGCTGTTCTGACTCACAGTCTGTAAGTATGTTTTCATTTAAAGGATTTGCCACTGACGATTCAAACGTGAGTTTTGAGCAGTGTATAATAATAATATAAAAATAATAATAATACTGTCAAAAGACAGTATAAGTCATTATAATCTGTAATTATGTCCCCACTGGATGCAACAAATGCCTCGTTTGTAATGGGTTTTATTGGTTTTGTCTGGTCGTGCCGGGAGACAGCATCACAGTATGTTAAGGGGCGTAACATTTCCGTCACACGCTTGAGGCATTCGGCCAATCACAACGCACTGGATAGCTGGCCAATCAGAGCACACCTCGCTTTTCAGACCGATGAGCTTTGTAAAAATCGACACGTTTCAGAAAGGCAGGGCATAGAGGAGAAACAATAATGTACAGTATGTGGAAAATAATGTGTTTTTTTAACCTTAAACCGCATAAACACATTTCATTGCACTAAATACACAAAATAATGTTCTTTTTAGCAACATCATATGACCCCTTTAATCATTATTTCGAAGCATTTCACAAACAGAAGCCATTTATATTTTTAAGGTATTTTATATTTAAACTACTTTAGCTCAAATTATTATTTAAAAAATCATTTTCAGGTTGGTCCAATTGGTCCTAGACTAGAGTAAACAACTCATTTTAAACTATTTTAGTTCAATTAAAATTTATTTCAATTAAAAAAGAAGGTTACTTTTAGAATTAAATATAATAAAAATAAAAATAAATAACACAAAACTATGAATTTTACACTCAAGCAGTAAAGGACAGTGTTTGTCACTATACATTTTGTTATTTTTCATTTTGTCTTTTTGCATTTCTGTTTGGTGGTGCAGAAATCCCAAACACTTCAGCTTTTACTTACCGCAACACTAGATCCATTTTTGCCCATTCCGCCTGTGAATATAACCCGGAAGTAGTTTGTGCAGGAGAAAACGGCACCCAGAAGAGTGCAAATGGCCGGTATTATTTTAATCTGGATATTTATCACAGGGATCTGAAAGATTAAAAACAAATCTCTCATATCCTGTTTCTAATCATCACATCATTATATATGAGTCCTTTTCATTGTACATGTAAAGATATTCTGCATTTCACTCAACACATGCAACATGCTAGAGAATCAGATTTCCTGACCGACCATGATATACAGATTTAACAAATTTGTCCTTGAGAATATGGTCTAATCATATGACCAAAATATGAAAGAATTAAGACTGTTTTGAATTACCACAGATTGCCAAAAAGCCGTTCCTCCAATGGCAGCCAGTAAGTACATGATTATAATGTAGATTTGAACCTCAGTCACATCAATTCTGCACAAGCAAAGAAGTGATTAAAAGATGAAATAAAATGAGTTAATTATTAATCTCACTCAACTCTAGCACTTTTCTTTCTTTCTTTCTGTAGTCCTTTATCAGCAGTACAACAGCTGTCTGAAAGCTGCTGGTTTCCCATGAGCAGAACAGAACGTTCAAATATAATATTTGTGAACTGTACGTGAAGTACAGGAGCCATCGATTATGATTAAGAGGACAGTTTTCACTCACATGCCAAAGCGCAGCGTTCCAGACATATTTCATAGTATTTAAGCAGTGATAAAGGCATTGCATTATAAATATACTTTATTTGAATGAAAATTATAATAATAAGAACTCAGATAAACCGTATATTGCCGTAGTCGTGTGTTTATTAGTCACGTTGAATCAATGAAAGCAGTTGAATCTTCTGTTTATTCAGCTGCAGCGATAGGCATTTCCTGGGTTTCTTCTGCAAGGCGTATTTGGAGTTTCAGCGCGAGAGCGCCCTCTGGCCTTTGGATGGAGATTTACTGCTGATCACAGAACCGTGCTTCACTGAAAGATACGCATGACAATCGCAGCTTCTATCGAATCGCGATCTTGATTCCATTTCGATTTATCGTGCAGCCCTAGTGTAAAGTATTCTTCCACAATATTTTAAAACAGAATAAGAGATGCTATCTAGATGCTATTCTATTAATGACAAACTTAGGAAGAAATATATCATAATATAAATATAAATAAATATACAATAATATTATAATATAATAGCTTTTTATAATAGACTTTTTTATTATGATATTTTTGCTTTTAAGCCCAGTGTCTAGAATTTTAGGTTTCAGGCAATATAAATTATCATCTGTCTGCATTGATAGATAATACATTTTGACCTATACATCTTTACTCAAATGTATAGGGCTCAATCTCTTAAATGAATTTCGTAATAAAGTAATAAAACATAATGCCATAGATCTAAGTGTAATATCATAGTAGCCAACTGTATTTGCATTCACAAACGTGAGCAGACCTGTAGAGAGGGAGTCACAGCCATGATCAAAGAGCTCGCCAAGAGGTGTGCTGCTATTGGTCCGTCGAGCCTGCTTTCCATCTATAGCATCCAATGATTGGTAGATGAACAGACCCAAAGCACAGGCTAAGTATGCCCACGTTGGTGCCTGAAAAAGATAAAATAGGCTTCAATTTCTGTCCACTTGGATGCTTTTTATCACTGACTTTGTGAACCAATAACCAACATGCAAGTTCATACTTACTGCAGTATGAACTATAAAGTTCATACTACTTATAAAGGTGGATATGAATGTGTTCTTTTATCTCTATAAGCCTAACTGTAGACACTAATGGTACGTGGAGAGAGAGTGGGTGTCATATTGCAGACTTGAGCAATGTAGATGTTTTCCATAACATCAGGACTCATAAGACTGTTATAGCTGATAAACAGACTCCGTTACAGCTGACAGAACAAGCTGTGTCTGACAATACACAGTATCTTATTGCACGGTTTAAATAGACCACAGCAATTATCTCTTCAGGAGAGCTCAGAATATACTAAATTATGACCTTCATAGACTATATGTGAGGCAGGGTAAGAAGTAAAACCAAGAATTTACTGCAATTACTACTAAATATTCATAATTACACTTAGACTGATATTAAAATCAGCAATAAATACCACATCCTAATGGTGACTATTTTCATAGCTAGTGAATATTCATAAGTTAAATGAAAGGGATATTAAAATTGCCAAAAAGATCATGGCCTCCCGCTACAACAATGACTTATATATGTAACTGAACTAAAACTAAACCTGATATATAAATCAACAAAAAGACAGTGTTCTAATGGTGACCACTGTAACAGCTGTTAAATATATAAAAATCAAATTAAAACTGACTATAAGTCATCAAACAGGTTATGTCCTAATGGTGACCATTGCAATAATAGCTACTAAACAATCAGAATTAGATTAAAGTTGATCTTAAATCAGTTGAATTAAAACTAATTCAAATCAACAACAACAATAACAACAACAAAAGTGTGGTAACTACTGTAATAAAAGCTATTATATATTTATAAGTGGACTGAATTGATATTGAAACCATCAAAAACACAATGTCATGATGATGACCACTGCAATAACTATTAAAAATAACTAAAACTGATATTAAAATCAACAACAAAATGTCTTAATGGTGACCACTGTAACAGCTGTTAAATATTCCTAAATACATTCAAACTGATTAAAATCAACAAAAAAGGCCACATTATTAAGGTGACTACTGTAAAAGATAGGCTACTAAATATTCATAAGTGGACTGAACTGATATCAAAACCAACAAAAAATGTCCTAGTAGTTGCCACTGCAACAGCTATTAAATATTCATAATTAGATAAACTGATATTAAAATCAACAAAAAGAAAATGTCTTGATAATGACCACAGCAATCGGTCTAAATATTCATAATTAGATTAAAACTGATCAGCAAAAATGACCAAGATCTGTAACTGCTGCTAAATCACAATATCTAGACTAAAAAGGATATTAAAATAATTAATAATAATTCAAATAACTGCTAAATATTCTATACCACTGTCAGCAGGTGAAAATAAAATGAATTAGGATTTGTAGTTGATCTGTTTAAACCAGCAATGGAATCTACTGAAGCAGTGAAAGTGCAGTTCACCTGTTCGGTGGCAGTAGGGCAGTAGTATACCAGTATCAGAGTACTGATAATATTAGTAGCGAGTCCCACTATGGTGATGAGGTTCGGCGCCATCCAAAGAGGCACTTTGCTCACCAGCCAGCACCAGAATCCCTGCATGAAGGGCTCCAGGAGGGACCGTCCTGCACTGCTGTACTGATGCTCCTCCAGCTTTTTCAGCTGCTGTCGGGACAGACGGGCTAGGGGAAGCTCCATCAGCTTGGCCAGGAGCCCAGGGCCCTCTTCCGCACCTGGTGCGTTCGGGTCACAGGCCATGGAGAAACTGGTGTCAGAATCGGGCCGAACCCGGACAGGTCTCTTGTGTGAGCTCATGTTTCTCTGAGTGGGCGTGGTGACTGTTGAATTCACAATGAGATTGTGGGATTAGATCTATGGGAGCAAAGACAGTAGAATGCATCAATTATTTTCGAACACATGGAACAACTCTGACACTACTGAAAAAGTAGAATTTATAATTAACAATGTTTTTGTGGGGTTAATAGTTACTAAGTTAACTGCTATTTATTAAATGATTTCCATACACTACAGTCAAGCTACACAACAGTCTGGATGGAACAATCAACAAGTTAAATGTATCGCTCAAGAACAACAGAGAATTTTAAAGATCAAATGGGATGAGAACTGTTTTCTCCCAAAGAAACAAAATTAGCCACATATTCTATTTGAATAAAATTATATACATGTATATGAACTGATATAAATATCAATACATTTAAATTTGACAAATAATACATTTTAATCTTAAAATTATTAAAATGTAAATTACAGGCTATGAATATTTCATTATATTTAGCAGATGTTCAACCAGTGCTTTTATACTTTATTAGATGCCTCTTAAAACCTTTTTACGGTATAAAATTATAAGCAGTAATATATAAATATGTGCATGTATAATTATAAACTGATATTAAAATGAATTAATTGTAATTTTAAAATAAAAAAATAAAATGATTAAAATTAGAATTATAGGCAGAATATTTCATTAAAGATTAGCACATATTCTACTGGTGGTTTTATACTTTATTTGACGCCTTTTAATATATATTTAAAATTATAAGCAAATATATACTTTATACAAATGTATATACTTCACATTAATGTACACTTTGATGCCTCTTGAAATATTATGCTGTCTACAACCTCAACTTAAAAAGTTAATTTTGTCAACTTTAAGGAGTAAAACAAAGAGAATGCTATTTTTCTTTGTAATTTAATAGGGTCTTCAGTCCCTTAAATATAAAATTGTATATTAAATTTATATAAATATTTCAGGAATATAATATAACATATTATAAATGTGATATACTTACAGTTATAGTTATATTAAAGACATTTTAGAGGCAGTGTGTGACTAATACAGTTCGGGTGGCCCACCCTAAAATACACCTGACCCTACAGAAGAGGGCAGTTACAGGACAGAAACATAAGAGAATGATGCACTGGGATCTAATAAAACAAAACCCTTAAACTATGGTATTGATCTGCGTTGTTCTATGGCGTACTTAGCAATTGAGTGTATTTAAGAGATTTCTAACAGCCCGTTCAAATCTGGAGGACGACGTCAGCTTGATAGCGATCTGTCAAACGTGCCAGGCATATGAGAAATGTGATATAACGTATATAATTATATTAAATACATTTTAGAGGCAGCGTGATTAATGAAGTTGGTTTGTGATTAACAGTACCTTCGTTTACGTGGTGAAAATGTCTTTTCTCCGCAGCATTACACTGGAGATACCTGTGTGACGCCAAAAGTTGAATTCTTAAATAAATTATAGATAAATTAAAAGAAATGCCAGGACGAAGAAACGTGCACGGAAACGGAGAAGACACTAAGGTGAAGGATGGTTAACCGACGGCAGGATAAACGGCGTGTATGACAAGCAGAGGCGTGAAAAGCGCTTCAATAACGCAACGACAACGCCTTCCGGAAGTAGGAATTTCAAAATAAAAGTCAGCTACAAAACATAATAAAATACAACATACATATGTTTTTTTTTTAAATATCACATTTATTTCAGCATTTATCAGATGTGTTTTAATCTGGTTATTTAAATATGGAATAATAAAAGTCGTTATTACTGCAATAAATACTGGTGTGGTTTCAGCAATGTGTACAAAACCTATAGCTTGAAATGAAATTATTACTAATAATAAAATGTGATGGTACTTCTACAGTTTGGTTTAGGAACTTTGCTGATAATAATACTGCCGTTGTTGTTCTATTTGTTTATTTACCCAAACACCCTTTTTCTTCTCTTAGAGCTCATTGTAAAGGGAATCATTAGCAAACAGCGCAACCTACACACCATCCCCTACTTTTTGGAACTGCATCCACTCAAATGAGTATTAAATCAGTGTTCGACTTTAATACAGCAGTTTTAAGTTGTTTGAAGAAGTCCTGATTTAAAAAAAGGTATATCTATGATGTCAAAATATGAAAAAGTATTTTTACTTCTCAAGTCTGAAGGGTAGTTTTATTTTAGTATCGAGATCTTTAAACTATTATATATATTTTTTTGTTTTTGTTGAATTCGCCATTGTAATATTTTGTTTTCATTTTAGTTATAGTAATTTTATGTTTTGTCTATATATTTTTTTAGTACATGCAAATAAACTAAACGAAAATTAATGAAAAAAGTTGCCTTGTCAACTAGCTTAAATGATATTTAAAAAATAAAAAGATTTTTTAAATGGTTTTAGTTTACTTTAATAACCTTGGAAAAGTCAAGTTAATTTATAAATTTCATTCTCACCCTCTTGGACAAAGCTGCCAATCTCTACAGTCGAAAAACTCTTCTCTGATTTTACAAAGACAAGAAATCACAGTTTAAGTACTCTTTAAAACAGGGATCAAAACAAAGTCAGGAAACAGGATAAAAATGGAGAATTTTGTTGAATCATTCTTTATTTAGCAACCACTGAATTGAGAGGTGCCAACACTGAAAACATCTGCAGCGGATAAGTGGTATTCCCTATTTGTTATGACAAACTTGCTGTAAGTTATTACATTTTACAAATTTTAATAGGAGATGCGAGAAGGTTGGGAAGTTTTAAAAGCAAAACACGAAGTTGGTGGACTGTTAACTTCCTTTCCACAAGGAAACATGATTTGGCACAAAAGCATTCTATAGATAAACAGATGAGAGAGACGGCAAAGAGAATATCGTGTAAAAAAGGGACAGCGGTCATTGATAAACCAACAAAACTAACTGCTGACAATTCTCACATTCATTCACATACCCTCAAGATTTTTCTCCCAGTGCATTTAATGCTTCTTTGACAATGTCTTAAACTTCAACTATTATACCTTCAAGAAATGGCAAGGTGATACAGAATAAAATGCTGTATCAGCCAATCAACAGAAACATACACCGTGCCAAGTACGGTAAACGGACCCCGAAAAAACAAGGTTATTTAAAGTGCAGATGAACCAGTCAGCCATGCTAGGAACGGAGTGATAAACTGTTGCAGAGTGTTTATGCATACAATTTAGAACAACTTGAAAAGAAGGATTTCAGTGGTACAACTAAAAAAAAAAATGTGAGTATCAACTGATACAAGTCTGTACCCTTAACCTACAATGAAAAAGTAAATAAATAAAATCGATACTAATAAAAAAATTCTAAAGCTTTCCTCAGAATCATTCATCAAGGGTTTTAATGATGAAAAAAATCCCGTTATTTTATCCTCTAGTGATGAAGAGAATTACCCAACACTTTATTTCACATCTGAAAGTAGGAAAGGTTTCTTCAGAATACTTCTGAATACTATCAAGAAGCCTACAGGACTCTTGTGTTTGTCGTTTCCCCGTGAGCGTGTTCCAGGCTACAGCGCACGGGGCCGCTTGGGGTTAATCTGCTTGCTGGCTTGTTCCTCCTCTTGGAGAGTAGAACGGAATGACCTCACTTTATCTGATAACACGAGCAGACACACATCCATTAATAATCATTCCATCAGGGGAAAACTGAAAGGAAAAACATTCTAGAGGATGCATTACCTCGGAGCTCAAAAAGGATCTCAATCTTCTGGTCAAGAATCTGCTCAAGCTGAGAAGAGTATGAGTCCACGTCGTAGTCCACCTCCTCAGTCATCTCCAGGAGAACCTTCTCATCCTCAAGCCACCTGATAGACTCCTGTCAGCACATATAGTGTAAAAATCCTCATTAACAATTCCCTTTTTCAGTTTTGGGACTGAACTGTATCAGAGTACAAACGAAAGAACAGTTCAGAAAAAAAAAAAAGGCACCACAACAAACCAAACGCTGACGTCAACTGGACTAAAAAGCTCTAGTATGAAAGTGACCTTAGAGGAATAAATACCTGAAACACAGCCCTGTGGTCCTCCAGAACCTGCTCTTCCATCTCCACCAGATGAGACACTGCCTCGTGAAACGTGAAGAGCTGAGGGGAGACTTCCTCTTCCTGTCAATATTCAAACACAAGCTTTTATCCGACCTACAAGTCTTAATGGAGTTTGGTTCACAGTATCTAAAAGACGACAAATCGATTACCGTTTCTTTCTTTCTTTCTTTTTTTTAAAGAAATTAATACTTAATATTTAGCAAGGACGTATTAAAGTTATCAAGTGACATTTATAATATAATTTATATATGTAGACAGTAACACTTGGTCACAAATTACACTTCTAAAAAGTATCTCTGAAGTAGGTGTCATTACTGTATCATCGTGCATGCAGTTTAAAGCAGAGGAAGTACAAGGAACAGATGCGGTTTTACATTCTGTTCACAGAGCAGTTTGAGGTCATCTCTCTGAGGGGAGTTGCCCAATTCCCATTCCTCATCCATGATGTCCAGCTGGTTGATGGAGTTGACATTGGGGCGGACTCCTTCCGTCACAGCATTGGGATCCACGGTCAGCTCCTTCACTCTAAATTCAGATTGACAGCATTTGTGATGATATTTTTAGAGCTATCGTGCTGACCTAAATGACACCATGCACAGGTCACAGGACTCAACTGGGGAGATGCTTGTTTTTGCTGTGACACTGTATACTCTTTACCTTATTTTAAAAGAGAACCTTACATTATTTCAAAAGGTTTTATGCTCTTAATAAGCATTTTGTGACAACATCAAGCAGACATGAGAATTCCCATCGGTGCAGCTGGGCATATAAATTGCAGTACGGCTAACACAACTGTTTATGGTGTCATCTCATTTTTATTAATTATATACAGTGATTATGTGCATTAATATTCACAATATGAGATATTTCTAAAGGAGAAGTAAGAACAACAGCACCACAGATGTGCCAGACATTCCCAGGGTTAGAGAAATGAAATGGCAGCAGATCAGAGGGGAAATGAAAAATGTTTACACCAAAAGCACAACCATTAGTGTGAGACGTGAGTGCAGCCAATGTTTCTAATAAAAAGAAACAGACTGTGGTTATATACATTGCAGTGCATGAGTATTTCCATGCATTGGTTGCAAGCCAACGCGGGATGCTGGTCGTCTACTAAGCAGTGCTGGGGAAGCTACATTGAGACTGATTGTCAAAACACTGTTCCTAACACTACAAGCTGCAAAAAAAAAAAAGAAAAAAAAAAAGAGTGAAGCTATTTAAGAAGGTAATATATTTATAATTATGTAACTTTAATAAAAATAATAAATCTATCTATATTTGGAATCAGAGAAGTATTTATCTGAGACTAAAACAATGAACATCTCAATTAAGGTCACAACAAGCACATTAATATATCTAATAAAACACTCTTATTTAAACTAGGGATGTATGGAATTACATTTCTGCCGAAATTCTGCGCGCGAAAGATCATATTTTGAGCGCGCAAAAGTGCGTTTTGCACACGCGCGAACTGAGTTTTGTGGAGAAAATGTTTGTCTCGCAAAGAAGAAAGTATTTCGAGCACACGAAAATCTATTTTGCATTTAAAATACGTTTTTGGATGTGTGCAGACCTTCTCTTCTCCGTGTGCAACTTTTCACTAGCTTGCTCACCTGATGCCCCCC